ACATACATACATACATACATACATACATACATACATACATACATACATACATACAAAAATTAACCTCTGATCACAAAGGTAGGTTGACAATTACGCATGCAAAAACGTACTGGCAATCCCCTCTACGAACGTAAAGGAATTGTTGCTGCAGTTGAATATGCGAGCACGGAACAACACAAACAGCATGCAACATGGCAGTATGAGAACGATTACACCCCGAATTCGCTTTCACCCAAGAAAGGATCAGAAAGGAGAAAAATAAGACGACTTTCGAAGCGGGAAACTTTTCGAAATGGTTGGCTACGAAATGCACGGCACAGAGTAGCGTGTTCCCATTTTCATGGTGCCAAACGTGAACTGTGATGTGATTTCAGTGGAACGACTGATTTTTTATCAATTACCCCAAAAGATTATAAAGTAAGAGGAATCTGTTAAATGCATGCATATTAAGTCAGTATCCTACATGAGACTGATTAGAAATGCGATAAGACAGACATTTGTAAGCAAGCGCGTGGTGTACCGGAGCAAAAAAGCAAGAGACAGAGCGCGCACGCACAGGACGAGACATGCGAACGAATGAACGAGCCAGTGCAGTTGTATTTACCGGACGACTGCGATTCAGATTGAGCAAACCATCGGCCGCCAGAAGCTCTTCATGGGCGATCTCTAGATCCCATTCGTCCATCGACGCCCGAGGGGCAACTGGATTGGTTTCTTCATCTGGCCGCGAAGAACAGTCCTCCGTCTGTGTATGCAGAATCTGTTGAACATCGGGTTCGGACGGTTGTCTATCTTCTTGGGACAACCGCCGTGGAATGGACTCAATCGACAGGTTTGGGTTAGTGCTGCTGGATGTAACGGAGTCGATTGTAGTTACCGTACCACGAAACGAAGAATCACCGGAATGTTGATCTGTAATCTGGTCCGCCTCCAATTCCTCCTCCTCTGCGGACAAGTCATCATCACAGCTGGTCACCTCATCCGAACCGCCCTCATTGCTGTCTGATTCAGTAGTAGATGAAGTCGAGCAGCGAGAGTTATGCTCGGTTGCTGTAGTTGATGCAGGACGACTAAGCTTAGCACTAGAACGAATAGCGATCGCTTCAGCACTCGGTCTGTTAGGTTGGGAAGCAAGCAAAACCGCCTGGAGCAAAGCAGGATAAGATGAGAATAACTTGCGTAGGGAGACTGGGTGGGCGAAGGATTACCACGATGATTAGTGCAAAAGCTGACTGGAAAAAACACTCCGTAGTACTGGTCAGCCAGTGTATAAACAGCACTGAACTTTGGATTCTGCACAACCACCTTTTAGGAATTTTAAGAGAAAAATGGCTGAGCTTTTGATGGCGTGATGAAGTAAAAGAATCAAACCAGAGTGAAAAGTGTAAGACATGAAAGAATAAATCCAAAATCAAGACATTATTATGATTAAGACGCAGGTCTAATTAAAGTCAGTACATGTCCTTACCAACATAGGGAAGTTTCTTAGGTTTGCGCAATATCCCAAAAAGGCACCGCTGTGTTAAAAGCAAGTACACACGCAGAATGCCGATAAAAACTCGCCATATGTTCACGACTAAAAAGTGAAATACACGAACATCACTTCTGTGATGAGCATTAATTACCGATGAAAATTTATCAAATGAGAAATAACCCAAAATTATAATCGAAAGAATAGTAAGAAGCGTAGACCTGGAAAAAGTCTGCTTAGAATAAACGACATCGAAAACACCCTGTCAGTGGGTGGTAATATAACTAAAATGCTTCATATATCACCAACAGTGTTACAATAAATTAACTCCGTGACACATACACACCGTTTATTAGTTGACAAAAATCCAAGGATGAAAAGCATAAAAATGTAAGATCGTCGAGGACAGCACAACAAAGGGAATCAATGGCACACAAGCACGTGGATACAGGACTAACATGGAACGAACTGCCCCAAATGGATAGGGACCCAACGACGAAATTCCGGGTGTCTGGTTGAAAGGAACGTGCGCAGAGGAAAATGGATACATATATGTACACAGTGTCAGACGTACCTCGCCATCAATCGGTAAGAATTGTGCTTCTAGCGAACCTTGAAGCACAACTGGTTCCAATACGGTCAGGTATTCCGGAGCGGCTATTGATTGAGTGGGATTATTGTTTGAGTCTGCGGGCTTTGGTGGTGCATGCACCTCCCCATTCACCTCGGACGATACACCGTGACCATTAACATGTGAGGATTTTGCGTGCAGACGAGCATCTGCAGCTTGGACGGATTCCATTACCAACGAGGAACAGGAACTTCGCGGAGAGGTGGAAGCGGATGTACAAGATGAGGAACTAGATGATGCGGACGAGGCTACGGTAGAGGAATCGGAAATTGCAATACGGGTTGGAGCAACCGGGGAAGCGGAAGAAGCTACTCGACGTTGGACTAGAGCCTCCACTGGAACATGAGCTCCCGGAGCGGGCGGAGGTTTATTTGCTGCGCATGGCACAGTCGTTTTGGGGGTCTTACCGGATGCCAACATTTGACCACAGTCACCAGATGGTTTAGGTGCTGGAGTCGCGGTTGGAGCTGCAGACACATAGGCCGGTAAAGGTGTGGGTAATTCGTCCATAATCCGAACTTCTTCGAGAAGCGCCTTGGGCTGAGAAGAACTTACAGCGGAAGAGAAATGCGTATTGGATACCACTCCGTTCATCTGATTTGTAGGCTGTCTCGTTGAGGTGATTCGTTCGACTGGCACCCATGGTTTAGGGCTAGATTGGATGGGTGAATTAACAGGCGTAGTCCCTGATGACGAAATAGGAGCAGGAGATTCCACGGGGGTTCGGCCAACCCATGGCGTATGCATTTTTTCTGGTGGTTGCGGTCGTTCATTTGCCGACGCTTTACGTTTATGCTCCAGTCTTGAGCCGCTATCCGACGATTTTGTGGACTAGATCAAAGTAATGGGGAAAAATTAGTTGGCAGATATGGAGTAACGCCCCGATAACAGGAATACTTTTTGAGCAATTGAGACACTGATTCGTGACAACGAACCAGCTGGTGTGCACAACACTGACACGCACATAAACACGCATGTGATTTTCCAAAGCGACAACATGCAACCCGAACAGTGCAAAAGTGAGGTGGTGCGCATCACGATTTCCAAAAATGCTTCGCTATTAGGCCAATCAAGTTGAGCTGAGTGGATAGAATGGAAGAAAAGCTGCCGCGAAATGGAGGAATATTGTATTTCCCTCTCTCGTAGAAAAATAAATGCTAAAATTGATGTCAATTTTATCTCAATGCTGCACGCTACAATATACTAAGGAATGAGATATCCCAATTCTTTGCACTTCAAAGATTTTTCCTTTCTCCGTTCGAGATGCTATGCAAAAATATGACCTGAATGCACAGAACCTAATTCGCGCTCGATATGCAGGGCGATGGAACAAGATTTACCGGTGAACAAATATAACAGATCGGAATGAGTATATTGATATCCGGTTGCGGGAGATAGTGTGCCTGAATTCACTACTCTATCTACAGGCAAGTTTTCACATCATAGGAAAATAGAGTCAATATCTGAGATCATTTGGTTAATACTGTTGAGTAGTACACACAGTACTGTGAAACGTTAAGTCAATCTACATGACTGGTGCAACGAGTCGGATCGGTTGCCCGAGTATAATGTCGGAAAAAAGCAACAATCTATCAACGGCCGGTTTGTTAGTACAGAATCAATCCGAACGAAATGATATATGATGCCCTTTGGCGAACGCATTGATGGAGCGTCCGTCAACAATCAATGCGTGCGGCGGTGAACGTGAACACACATTTCAGATGCGGACAAAAAAGAGCTTGACAGATGAACTGCCAAACAGAAAACAGAGACAATCGGACAGATGCAGTGAGAGAGACAGAGAGACAGATGGGATGCGCATTTCAGAGTGGGACGAAGAATTACGGCACGCGTGCGTGCGTGCGTGCGGGATTCACAATCAAATGAAAATTAAACAAACAGGCCCAAAATGCGATGAACTAGATGGTAGTATGCACACTCACTACGCTGTGTACCAGTGTACGATCCTGAAACAAAAACACGTGTGTATGGATTGGGAAAACGTGACCACGGGATGACGCAATGCACACGTGTCCGGGAGTTTATGCAATGCTGACAGTTATAGAAACGGTAACATATGAATTGAAAACTAGTTGTAATCTCCCATTCAGTAAAGAGTTTCTCATCATGCGAAAATTATGCAAGTAATCGGTAGCTAAAAACACAGAATGCATGCTCAGAAATATTGGCCCAACCGCTTTATTGTAAAGAAATCATGAACAGATAAGATATAGATCAATCAATTCGTGTTCATAACCTAATTTTGTTCAGTGAACTGCGTATTCGTTAGTGTTTAGGTGTAACGGGACATGCTTGGGAATCAGAACACGCGAATCAGTGCTTAGATGAAACCGTAAATGAATGAACCCAACACGGATGGATGTCCGAAAGGATGTGATCAGTTCAACAATGGGCAGGATGTTTAACACTATATAGCAGAAATAGCCCCATCGCTCCTAGAATGCGCATGCAAGTACAGACCACTAAACGCATATTGTGTTAGACCATAGATGCATGTATTCAATCTTTTATTTCGAACAACAACACAGGAGAGTACCCTGAAAAGTTCTGCCGCCTATCACGCGGCAAACATTTCATAACGCTTTTACGTGAGTATAAGCCAGTCTCTCATATTTATCTAGTGGCGCCTATCAATGCATCGCGATGTGTGGTTAGATCAGTAGATTGTTGAATCCGGTTGTTGCGCCAATGGCGCATTCCGAAAGCCAACTGAAGACATAGGCCATGTACGTCTGATTTGACTGTACTAGCCCGAGGCGAAATTTCAAATTTGGAAAATGTGTCCGTGATACAGTTGGGAATTCTGTTTCTGGCCGGTGGACAACATCACCAAACCGCAGAAGATGGTGTTATCCATATTCGCACAATGTTGACGCACGGCAGATTTTGAAACGCCGTAGTAACACCCAATTTTGGCCGTAGTGGTTGGAGTTTTTCAACTTGTTTGTGCTATCCACTCGCACCACGATTCGCAAGCGCATACAAGGACGGGTCGAACAGTGCCTCGATAAACCCACAGTATTGTGAAAAGTAAAATTTCGCTGCGTAACCACAAGGGCTTGCGAAGCCGTAAGAGTATCATTCTTGGGCATTCGATGGAAAGCTCGATATTGTCTTTGACTTGGCTGCTCTGTTGGACGATTGATCCTAGGTACTTGAAATGCCGTACCAGTTCTAGTGTCTTACCATTGATGTGAATGAGGCGTCAAGTCTGGGAAATTTGTGGAGATTTGCGTTCTCCAGTTACTTATCTCCCGAACGACAAGATTATTCACACATAAATACAAACAGATCGGGGACAATAAGCAACTTTGTTGTCCTCGTCGACCCTATGTTCGATACAGTTCAGTGCCCATTGTTTATTGTCAGAATCCTCTAATAAAACGGCAATGTTGTCTGAAAAGTCGAGGTCAGCGGTTTAAGTCTCGTGCTTAATTTTCATTCTTCGAGTATCGCTAACAGCACGATGCAACAAACAGACTGTCATAGTTGAAAAGGATTGATGCGGATACCGGGAACAAACGGAAATTCCGTCAACTGTTCTCCGTATGTGCGCCGCAGTTGCGCGGTTGTATGAGCTAATCACTCTTATGTATTTCTGTTGCATTCCATCGGTACGTAAATGCCCCTTCCCTGCCTATCAACTGCCAATGGTTTTCTTCCGTTTTTCGACGTACCGAGTAGAATGGATGTCGTTCAGTCTTTGGAAGAAATTGGGTTTTTTTCAGAGGCAACTTGATAATGTAGCTATTAAAGTCAGCAGAGCGATTTTACAGATTTAAAACAGAATACAGTTCTCGCTGGGGGACTTCAATTTTATCACCTTCATCGGGAATACAACTTCGAGTTGATAGAATGCGTTTGCATTGGGTACATGGATGTATCGGGTGCAAGATAAACTAGCCACGTTGATTTCGCAATTGAGAAATAGGTATAAGATGATGCACTGCGCAGAAACCCACCACTTCCTCATATACTGCCGCTGCAGCAGCCGCTTATTTAGTGAACCTGATCCCGCTTTATTCACGGCTAACCACCAAATGGGTGGCTGTTCAGTCATCGGCGACCTTGGTAGCATGCACCTCTGCGTCTGGCAGTAAATTACTACTCACATAGATTAAAGTGCAGAGAGACAGAAAGTGAAGGAAAAATTTGTCGTGTACAGAACTAAGGAAGGACAAACTGAGAAGTTGGGAAGCGCAATCATATAACTGGTACGACCCTGCTGTGTGCTTCAGTTGAGTACGTTGAGAATCAAATCCAGGAGTTTACACGGGCGGAAAATGAGAGTACTGACGGCGCAAGGAAGCCCGTAGAACTTCAATATTACGTCGTAAGCTATTCATAAATTTAACAGAGAAATTATTCCAAACACCGTTTCTGAAATATCCGTTCTGGATGAGCTACACAAGTCGAATTATAAAGATATTTATATCGCGAACTAGAAGGATTAAATTACAATCTTGATCTCAGCCCCTCTTTAATCATTGATTCACATATTAAGCAATACAGCGAAACAAAACAATCAAATGCATGTATACGTATGAAAGCACACTTAGAGACTAGCCCAACGCGTATGCAGTCGATTGAACACCACACAGTCGACTAAACCAAACATGTAACTGTGGATGTAGTAGCGCGTGAACGTGGGAAAAACTTAAAAAGAGAAAAGAACAACTATGAGCTTATACAATATATGTGGCATAATCGAAGGGGATAAATCAGGCGGAAAAATCTGATGTGTTACAGCAAAAACCAGTAATGTTGGGCTAGGATTAATGACGGGGATTCACCAGGATGTATAACAAAATGGGAGAAGAATATCTATCTGGTAGATAGTCAGGTATGGAGAAACCGGCTGGCGCCAATCTAAATTACAGGGTAAAGCGATTTGTGGCTAATAAAAACAACGCTTTCTTTACGCCATCCAACCTGGGGCTGTGATGAGAAATGATGGGGGGTGACATCTACTGCGCCATGATAGGCGCTGATTGAGAGTGGCTGGGCTGTTT